CTTTGACAGGGTACCTCATAAACGCCCTCTAGTGAAACTGGTAGCCCTCGACATCCGGCCGCCTCTTTTAGAATTCATCGATACCTAGTTGTCTTAGCACAGCCAGAATATTTTAGTTGGAAGTAGCTACTCGATGTCTCGGCTGAACATGGGTGGTGTTCTTAAGGCACGGGCTTGTGTTCCCACCTCCTTATTTTATACATAAAAGAAATTTCAACAGTGCTCAATAAATTGACACAATGTGACTTACACTGCTTACCTTAAGTAAATTTACTAATTTTCGAAGGACGCGATCAATATTTGCTTTGATGACATCAATGCAGACTTGCTAACGTTCTCATGTTGGAGCTCTAGTTGGCTGTTACGATTGTCTCCATCGTAAGCCCTAAGCCCTACTAAGCTTCCTGTACTCCTGGTCTTCCAAATTAATCTACATTTAGAGCGATCCACCATAAGGGACTCGGGTCTAAGTTACACGATGTAGCTATCATTATCACCCCGTGCAGATCAAATTTCTGATAAGGCAGCAGAGATATTTATTTTACATCACATAATTTTTTTCTTCCGAAAATAAAGTTAAAAAATGTACCGCATGTTTTGTTTTTCCCTCCTAGTGTACTGATAGATAGATAGATAGGCGGTATGAGATATCCAGTTAGGGGTCTGTCGTGAAGGTCGTGGCAAGTCACACCATCTTCTTCGTGTGGGTGATGACTACGTCTAGTGTATTTAGCTAGACCTAGCTCTCACTTGTTGCTACCGGAGTGAGACTCTGCCTAGCGGTCACTCCTGGTAATCACCCTGAGCGGCGGGCAAAATTAAATAAAGGTCTCCCGTCTGTGTGTCCTCTCCAACACCTGGTATACCTCGGGTAGCAGTAGTAATTATTAGAGCAGACGTAGTACGCGGAAGGTGCATAGCTAGATATTGTATTCCATACACACCGTAATAACAGTAGAAGCAGTTTCATTATTCCCTTAACCGTCGCAGTAACACTAGGAGCCATAATAAAAGTTTCAATAGTAGAATAGCTTTCGCAGTATTATTCATTTTACCTTCACTAATCTCTTAACTATTAACAATATTATAAGTAGGCACAGTACTGTTGTCACCATTACTACCACTGGTTTCCGTACTACAATTTTTTACTGGAGCTTATTATCGATAGCATTAGTACCATCTGTTTTATTACAGTAATCACTTTTATTGCACTATTCCTGTAGCCAATCAGATAATCAGTATATTTGAGGAAAAAAATAGGCTTGCGTCTTTTAACTCTCCATTTGTCACAGCGAAATGTCAGGAATTAGAAACAATATTCACCAGTATTGGTTTTGTTTCAATTTTTGTGTTTTGTCAATACTGGGCGAGATAGGGAGTTTGATTCAAGTGAAAAAAACCTGACTTCAAAGTTATGATATAAACGGAATATATGCGCGAATATTCGGGGTGCAGATATAATATCGTGCTCATCATTCCTAGAAGAGGAAGAAGAAGAAGAGGGGGCAAGTGCTGGGACCAAATTGTATTCCTGCTGCCGTTTCAAAAAACATGCTCGTTT